TACTTTCTGCGTGCTCTGCATTCCATGTACTTTCTGCGTGCTCTGCATTCCATGTACTTTCTGCGTGCTCTGCATTCCATGTACTTTCTGCGTGCTCTGCATTCCATGTACTTTCTGCGTGCTCTGCATTCCATGTACTTTCTGCGTGCTCTGCATTCCATGTACTTTCTGCGTGCTCTGCATTCCATGTACTTTCTGCGTGCTCTGCATTCCATGTACTTTCTGCGTGCTCTGCATTCCATGTACTTTCTGCGTGCTCTGCATTCCATGTACTTTCTGCGTGCTCTGCATTCCATGTACTTTCTGCGTGCTCTGCATTCCATGTACTTTCTGCGTGCTCTGCATTCCATGTACTTTCTGCGTGCTCTGCATTCCATGTACTTTCTGCGTGCTCTGCATTCCATGTACTTTCTGCGTGCTCTGCATTCCATGTACTTTCTGCGTGCTCTGCATTCCATGTACTTTCTGCGTGCTCTGCATTCCATGTACTTTCTGCGTGCTCTGCATTCCATGTACTTTCTGCGTGCTCTGCATTCCATGTACTTTCTGCGTGCTCTGCATTCCATGTACTTTCTGCGTGCTCTGCATTCCATGTACTTTCTGCGTGCTCTGCATTCCATGTACTTTCTGCGTGCTCTGCATTCCATGTACTTTCTGCGTGCTCTGCATTCCATGTACTTTCTGCGTGCTCTGCATTCCATGTACTTTCTGCGTGCTCTGCATTCCATGTACTTTCTGCGTGCTCTGCATTCCATGTACTTTCTGCGTGCTCTGCATTCCATGTACTTTCTGCGTGCTCTGCATTCCATGTACTTTCTGCGTGCTCTGCATTCCATGTACTTTCTGCGTGCTCTGCATTCCATGTACTTTCTGCGTGCTCTGCATTCCATGTACTTTCTGCGTGCTCTGCATTCCATGTACTTTCTGCGTGCTCTGCATTCCATGTACTTTCTGCGTGCTCTGCATTCCATGTACTTTCTGCGTGCTCTGCATTCCATGTACTTTCTGCGTGCTCTGCATTCCATGTACTTTCTGCGTGCTCTGCATTCCATGTACTTTCTGCGTGCTCTGCATTCCATGTACTTTCTGCGTGCTCTGCATTCCATGTACTTTCTGCGTGCTCTGCATTCCATGTACTTTCTGCGTGCTCTGCATTCCATGTACTTTCTGCGTGCTCTGCATTCCATGTACTTTCTGCGTGCTCTGCATTCCATGTACTTTCTGCGTGCTCTGCATTCCATGTACTTTCTGCGTGCTCTGCATTCCATGTACTTTCTGCGTGCTCTGCATTCCATGTACTTTCTGCGTGCTCTGCATTCCATGTACTTTCTGCGTGCTCTGCATTCCATGTACTTTCTGCGTGCTCTGCATTCCATGTACTTTCTGCGTGCTCTGCATTCCATGTACTTTCTGCGTGCTCTGCATTCCATGTACTTTCTGCGTGCTCTGCATTCCATGTACTTTCTGCGTGCTCTGCATTCCATGTACTTTCTGCGTGCTCTGCATTCCATGTACTTTCTGCGTGCTCTGCATTCCATGTACTTTCTGCGTGCTCTGCATTCCATGTACTTTCTGCGTGCTCTGCATTCCATGTACTTTCTGCGTGCTCTGCATTCCATGTACTTTCTGCGTGCTCTGCATTCCATGTACTTTCTGCGTGCTCTGCATTCCATGTACTTTCTGCGTGCTCTGCATTCCATGTACTTTCTGCGTGCTCTGCATTCCATGTACTTTCTGCGTGCTCTGCATTCCATGTACTTTCTGCGTGCTCTGCATTCCATGTACTTTCTGCGTGCTCTGCATTCCATGTACTTTCTGCGTGCTCTGCATTCCATGTACTTTCTGCGTGCTCTGCATTCCATGTACTTTCTGCGTGCTCTGCATTCCATGTACTTTCTGCGTGCTCTGCATTCCATGTACTTTCTGCGTGCTCTGCATTCCATGTACTTTCTGCGTGCTCTGCATTCCATGTACTTTCTGCGTGCTCTGCATTCCATGTACTTTCTGCGTGCTCTGCATTCCATGTACTTTCTGCGTGCTCTGCATTCCATGTACTTTCTGCGTGCTCTGCATTCCATGTACTTTCTGCGTGCTCTGCATTCCATGTACTTTCTGCGTGCTCTGCATTCCATGTACTTTCTGCGTGCTCTGCATTCCATGTACTTTCTGCGTGCTCTGCATTCCATGTACTTTCTGCGTGCTCTGCATTCCATGTACTTTCTGCGTGCTCTGCATTCCATGTACTTTCTGCGTGCTCTGCATTCCATGTACTTTCTGCGTGCTCTGCATTCCATGTACTTTCTGCGTGCTCTGCATTCCATGTACTTTCTGCGTGCTCTGCATTCCATGTACTTTCTGCGTGCTCTGCATTCCATGTACTTTCTGCGTGCTCTGCATTCCATGTACTTTCTGCGTGCTCTGCATTCCATGTACTTTCTGCGTGCTCTGCATTCCATGTACTTTCTGCGTGCTCTGCATTCCATGTACTTTCTGCGTGCTCTGCATTCCATGTACTTTCTGCGTGCTCTGCATTCCATGTACTTTCTGCGTGCTCTGCATTCCATGTACTTTCTGCGTGCTCTGCATTCCATGTACTTTCTGCGTGCTCTGCATTCCATGTACTTTCTGCGTGCTCTGCATTCCATGTACTTTCTGCGTGCTCTGCATTCCATGTACTTTCTGCGTGCTCTGCATTCCATGTACTTTCTGCGTGCTCTGCATTCCATGTACTTTCTGCGTGCTCTGCATTCCATGTACTTTCTGCGTGCTCTGCATTCCATGTACTTTCTGCGTGCTCTGCATTCCATGTACTTTCTGCGTGCTCTGCATTCCATGTACTTTCTGCGTGCTCTGCATTCCATGTACTTTCTGCGTGCTCTGCATTCCATGTACTTTCTGCGTGCTCTGCATTCCATGTACTTTCTGCGTGCTCTGCATTCCATGTACTTTCTGCGTGCTCTGCATTCCATGTACTTTCTGCGTGCTCTGCATTCCATGTACTTTCTGCGTGCTCTGCATTCCATGTACTTTCTGCGTGCTCTGCATTCCATGTACTTTCTGCGTGCTCTGCATTCCATGTACTTTCTGCGTGCTCTGCATTCCATGTACTTTCTGCGTGCTCTGCATTCCATGTACTTTCTGCGTGCTCTGCATTCCATGTACTTTCTGCGTGCTCTGCATTCCATGTACTTTCTGCGTGCTCTGCATTCCATGTACTTTCTGCGTGCTCTGCATTCCATGTACTTTCTGCGTGCTCTGCATTCCATGTACTTTCTGCGTGCTCTGCATTCCATGTACTTTCTGCGTGCTCTGCATTCCATGTACTTTCTGCGTGCTCTGCATTCCATGTACTTTCTGCGTGCTCTGCATTCCATGTACTTTCTGCGTGCTCTGCATTCCATGTACTTTCTGCGTGCTCTGCATTCCATGTACTTTCTGCGTGCTCTGCATTCCATGTACTTTCTGCGTGCTCTGCATTCCATGTACTTTCTGCGTGCTCTGCATTCCATGTACTTTCTGCGTGCTCTGCATTCCATGTACTTTCTGCGTGCTCTGCATTCCATGTACTTTCTGCGTGCTCTGCATTCCATGTACTTTCTGCGTGCTCTGCATTCCATGTACTTTCTGCGTGCTCTGCATTCCATGTACTTTCTGCGTGCTCTGCATTCCATGTACTTTCTGCGTGCTCTGCATTCCATGTACTTTCTGCGTGCTCTGCATTCCATGTACTTTCTGCGTGCTCTGCATTCCATGTACTTTCTGCGTGCTCTGCATTCCATGTACTTTCTGCGTGCTCTGCATTCCATGTACTTTCTGCGTGCTCTGCATTCCATGTACTTTCTGCGTGCTCTGCATTCCATGTACTTTCTGCGTGCTCTGCATTCCATGTACTTTCTGCGTGCTCTGCATTCCATGTACTTTCTGCGTGCTCTGCATTCCATGTACTTTCTGCGTGCTCTGCATTCCATGTACTTTCTGCGTGCTCTGCATTCCATGTACTTTCTGCGTGCTCTGCATTCCATGTACTTTCTGCGTGCTCTGCATTCCATGTACTTTCTGCGTGCTCTGCATTCCATGTACTTTCTGCGTGCTCTGCATTCCATGTACTTTCTGCGTGCTCTGCATTCCATGTACTTTCTGCGTGCTCTGCATTCCATGTACTTTCTGCGTGCTCTGCATTCCATGTACTTTCTGCGTGCTCTGCATTCCATGTACTTTCTGCGTGCTCTGCATTCCATGTACTTTCTGCGTGCTCTGCATTCCATGTACTTTCTGCGTGCTCTGCATTCCATGTACTTTCTGCGTGCTCTGCATTCCATGTACTTTCTGCGTGCTCTGCATTCCATGTACTTTCTGCGTGCTCTGCATTCCATGTACTTTCTGCGTGCTCTGCATTCCATGTACTTTCTGCGTGCTCTGCATTCCATGTACTTTCTGCGTGCTCTGCATTCCATGTACTTTCTGCGTGCTCTGCATTCCATGTACTTTCTGCGTGCTCTGCATTCCATGTACTTTCTGCGTGCTCTGCATTCCATGTACTTTCTGCGTGCTCTGCATTCCATGTACTTTCTGCGTGCTCTGCATTCCATGTACTTTCTGCGTGCTCTGCATTCCATGTACTTTCTGCGTGCTCTGCATTCCATGTACTTTCTGCGTGCTCTGCATTCCATGTACTTTCTGCATTCCATGTACGTGCTCTGCATTCCATGTACTTTCTGCGTGCTCTGCATTCCATGTACTTTCTGCGTGCTCTGCATTCCATGTACTTTCTGCGTGCTCTGCATTCCATGTACTTTCTGCGTGCTCTGCATTCCATGTACTTTCTGCGTGCTCTGTTCTCCCTCACCAGGGCGACTTTGTCTCCTACCTGAATGTGTACCAGGGCTTCACCCGCAGCGGCCGGTCGGCCAAGTCAACTCCCCACAGCCCCTCCCTCCCCCTTCCACCGCATTCTCTTCATGCTCCTCATTCTCTGTGTCCCCTCCCTTGTCTCCCACCAGGGCGACTTTGTCTCCTACCTGAACGTGTACGAGGGTTTCACTCGCAGTGGCCGGTCGCCCAAGTGGTGCCATGCCAACGGCATCAACTACCAGGCCATGGTATGAGCTGATTCTGTGCTCGTGCATGCCATGGTGCGCTGAATGCGATGGCGTTACATGGTGCTTTTGAGCTGATGGCAATGGTGTCGCATGCCCATGGAGGGTTTCACTCGCAGTGGCAGGTCGCCCAAGTGGTGCCACGCCAACTGCATCAACTACCAGGCCATGGTGTGGAATTGTGCTGCTGCCATGCCAGTACACGATTCACTTGTGAGAATGGTCTAATGTAGATTCACGCCTCGCCTGGCCCCCCTCATTAGTCCACCATCTCTCCTCCTGCCACTTCTTCCCCTTGTCTCAGTTGCGACTGGACCATGTGAGAGGGCAGCTGCGGAAGGGGCTCAGACTATTTTTTCGAGCGCTCAATAATCGCCTCCTCACCCCTCCCCACCCCTCTCCACCCCCCACATCTCAGCTGCGAGTGGACGATGTGAGGGGGCAGCTGCGGAAGGAGCTACGGCGTCTGGGGCTGAAGCTGCTGTCATGCCGGGGTGACGTCATGGTGGGTGTGGCTGATTGGAGGATTCTCAGAAAACAGTTGGGCGTCTGAGTCCCAGAGAGACGCATGCAACAAAGTGGGGCTCAGGCGTCTCTCTGGGGCTCAAGCTGCTGTCATGCAGGGGTGACGTCATGGTGGGTCATTATGGTTATCATGCCACTCTTAACGACAGTTTTCCTACCCGTCCCTCCCCTTCGCCATTTCCGTTCCTTGCGCCCTCTGAGTCGGCCTTGTGCTTCCTTATTTCCCTTCTTTCTGATTTCCCTCGTTAATATCTCCTCCATCTTCCATCTTCCTGTCGTGTTCCTTTTTCCCCTTTCCTCCCTCTTGCTGATTCTCTTTCCCTTCCCCGCTGCCCCTTCTGTATTCCCTTCTCTTCTCGCCACCCGCACCCACCCGCACCCACCCACACCCACCCACAACCCCACCACATCCCCTCCAACCCCGCACCACCCCTGATTCCACCAGCTGCTCCAGGGGGCAGCGGTGCCATCTCTTACCACTTGTCGCCCCCCAACGATATTTTGTTCCACTCTCCCCTCTGCCAATCCCTCCACTCCACCAGCTACTACAGCGGGCAGCAGCGGCTTCCCTCTTCGTGAATGCGGCTCACCTCATGGTAAGATCTGCAAATTCATGTGTCCAGCTTTTGAGTCTACTCAAATCAGACTCATGGTATGATTTGCAGCGTATGAGTGGGCGGTGCAGCGTATGAGCGTGCGGTGCAGTGTATGAGCGTGTGGTGCAGTGTATGAGCGTGCGAAAAGCATGAGTGCTATTTATGAGTCGGTGCGTGGTTCGTCTAGGTCTATGCGCATGGTTATGCACATGGTTATGCACATGGTTATGCATGACACGATTTTTGAGTCGACTAAAAAATTGTATAACTCTATGCACATGGTTATCATGAGTCCGTGCGTGGTTTGTCTAGGTTTATGCACATGGTTATGCATGGGTCCCATGCACCTTCCATTCCGCTTCCCATCCTGCCCTCCCCTCTGAGGCTGATGGTGACGGGTCCACATACAAGTCCGTGAGGGGCGATGGTGACGGGCAATGTGCATCTCAAGACCCAACCTTCCTACAAGTTGACTTGAGTCGGGCTCAAAAATCACTTCTTTCTCCCCCCCTTCCCTTCCCTTCCTCTCTCAGGCCGATGGTGACGGGTCCACATACAAGTCCGTGAGGGGCAATCTGCATCTCAAGATTCACCCTTCCTCCGTCCTGTTTAGGTATGACAAACCCCCTTATACTAACCCCACACCCCACCACTCCGACTAATTTCATTCCCCCTCCCTCCACCTATCCATACTGATAAAGAACTGTACTAACAGCAGCAGCCAACTCACCTTCCGGTGACGTGGTCTCCCCCCCCTTTCCCCCCTTTTCCCCCTTTCGTCCCTTCCCTACCCACTCATGTGTATTGAATTATCCACCTTTTGCAGAGTGGCGCCGCAGTGGGTGGTGTACCGCACTGCATCACAAGCTGACTCGTTTTTGTACATGCGAGACGTGACTGCAGTTGAGAGAGAGTGGCTGCTAGACGCTGCTCCTCACTTCTTCACCCAGAGGCAGATAGGAATTCCCACAAGACCATGACTAACCCAATGACTCTGCATATCTTCTACCACTGATGTGTGAATGTTTCCATCACTGGGCTGCTAGACGCTGCTCCTCACTTCTTCACCCAGAGGCAGATAGGAATTCCCACAAGACCATGACTAACCCAATGACTCTGCATATCTTCTACCACTGATGTGTGAATGTTTCCATCACTGGGCTGCTAGATGCTGCTCCTCACTTCTTCGCTCGAACTCCGAGCCTCGGAGGCAGATAGGAATCCCTGCGAGACCATGATCCTCCTGTGAATTCTTTTCCCTCTCATGTGTTCATGTTCCATATAAGCCACATATTGCAAAATTACCAGCACCAGCACCAGCACTGCTAGCACCATCACCATCAGCACATTGCAAATGCTACCTACCACACATCAGCAACTTCTGATAGACTAAGAACATCACAATAATATACCTTCGCAAAAGCTACAAATGCTACGATATGGTACATCTTCGACCGCCCTCCTTCCTCTCATTCCCCTTCCAATCATCCCCCTCTCCCCTCGCCAAGGCCTCATGCTCTATCTCAGCCACTACCTCCCTATGCTCCCTGCATCCCACCACCCGCTGCTCCTCCTCCCAGTACCTCTCCTCCACCTCACTCCCCTCGGGCGGGGGCGGCCGCCAAAACGTTCGCGCCAGAGCGTCAACTGCCCGGGAAGCTGCCCGGAATCTTTCACCGAGAGCCGCCCGGACTGCAGCGCGTGCGCCAGCGCATCCACAGCTTCTGCCTGTCTGCTCTCCGTGTGGCAGACCAACACCATATCCACGCCTGCTGCTACAGCCAGCACTGCTGCCTCCCCCACGCCCACATGCTTCACTATCGCACCCATTTCCAAGCAATCTGATAACACAGCGCCTTCGAAACCAATCTCCATACGGAGGTAAGAGAGGGCGCCAGGGGAGAGAGTGGCAGGGAGAGAAGAGCCGAAGGCGGTCAGTGGGGAGGGGTTGGGGGAAGTGGTGGGGTGGTTGGTGGAAGGGGTAGGCTGCTGCTGGTGTGCCTGCTGTTGCGTGGTTGATGATGTGCGAGATTTGACTGTGTCAGCATTGGCGGTAACCATACTGTTACTGCTGCTTTTGCTGCTGTCATGGTTCCTCCTTCTACCACCAGCGCTGCTAGAAGCCCTGAGGTCAGGTTCAGAGAGTGATCGCGGCAATCCCAAGGTTGCTTCTGCTTCTCTCCTCGCCTCGTCCCATTGCCTTCGCCTCTTGTAGGGGGAAAAGAGCTCCCACCGCGGACTGATGACGCGTTTCACACTCTCTGGAAGATATTCCATGGAAGGAGGAGGCTGCCACGTGGCAAGCGCAGGCACTGCCACGTGGGCGACCATTACAGCTGCCACGTCAGCATCCACTGCCGCCCGCGCAAACGGCACCAGCTCCACCGATTCAAGCCGGCTTAGATCGTGCGACGAATAAGGAAGCGCCAGGTGGCTATCGACCGACGTATCTCCATGCCCCGGGTAGTGCTTTACACACGCTGCCACCCCCTCCCCCTGCATACCCCTTATAAGCTCGTACGCCATTTGGGAAACAACACCCGGGTCCCGACTAAACGATCGAGCCCCTATAACTGGATTGTCAGGGTTAGTATCCACATCTAAGACTGGAGCTAAGTCGATATCTATATGAACCGATCTTAACTCGCGGCCTAAAACACGCCCAACCGCCCGGGCGAGATTAGGGTTTCGGGAAAAGCCGATGGTGCGGGCGGCAGGGATGCAAGTGAAGGGCGGGCCGAGGCGCGTGACTCTGCCGCCCTCCTGGTCCACCATGATGAGAAGACGCCGAGGGAATGCCGCCCGCTTGAGGTCGGCGCAGAGTGAGGCTAGCTGACGGGGGTCTGAGAAGTTGCGTGAGAAGAGGACAACGCCGCCCGCACCTGGAAGGGTGAAAGGTTGAGAGGGTGAGGGTCAGAGGGAGTGAGTGTGTGAGTGAGAGAGTGAGCGCATGGCTGTGCGCGTGCTGCTGGCAAGGATTGGAGAAGTTGCGAGAGAAGAGAACAACATCGCCCGCACCTGGAAGAGAGGGTGGGTGAGAGGTGCAGAGAGGTTGAAAGTGAGTGAGTGAGTGAGTGAGTGAGTGAGTGAGTGAATGAGTGAGGTCGACGCAGAGAGAGGCGAGATGGCAGGGATCTGTGAAGTTGCGGGAGAAGAGAACGACGCTGCCCGCACCTGAAAGGGAAGAGGGTGAGAGGGTGAGGGTCAGAGGGAGTGAGTGTGTGAGTGAGAGAATGAGAGCGCATGGCTGTGTAAGCTGCGGGTGCTGGAGAAGTAGTTAGAGAGTGAGAGGGTGGGGGAGTGAGAGTAAGTGGCTCATGTGCGTAGTGATGATGATTGAGGGGCTTTAATTGCTCACCCATGAAATGAGGCGGCGAGCATGGTCGTTTATCTCCTTCCCGTTGAATCCAAACGCCACCAGCTTAGCCACTGCTCGTTGGTACACCGCCAGCGAGTCTCCAGGTTCCGTTGCTGCTACCGAAGCAGCTCCAAACGGGGACGCGCTGTCAGGGGAAGACGACGAGCCGAGGGTTGAGCTCTCCTGCCGCTCCCAGCTAGTCCGAGGAGTGTTTCTGTCCCTGGTCGTTCTCACGTTAATTGATCGCAATCGCACGCCTAAATCCGCTCCCGTGCTTCCCCCTTCAGTCGGGACCCACTCGCTTGTTCTACCCGCGTCACTGCTGTGATTTAAACGAAATGACCATGCACCGTCCCTATGCGCCACGTCACGCGCATCTGAAGGGTAATTCTGCGCGCCTTGCTGCTCCTGCTGTTGCTGCAGGTGTTCCGCAGCGGCTTTTGCGCCTTGCGCAATCTCCGCTTTCCCCCGCTCCTCTGGCCGGAAGAAAAGGGCTCCCTCCACGAGGACGGGATCCAACGGCTGAGCTGCGGAGTCAGGCTGACGAGAAATGTCCGCCATCGGATTGGACCAGTCGCTGGGTATCGTTGCGATGGGTTCTTTCCGCTAAAAGCTGTCGCCGCAAATTATTGCCACCGCACTCAGCTGTCGTCGCGATTGGACGGACCTCAACTACTACTGCATGTCTTCAGACTAATCACCTAAACCGCGCAATAGGCGCGAGATGCTACAGAGGTGCTAAAAACCGAACACACATGAATTGATGAAATTTCAAGAGGGCCGCCTTGTTGTTTCTCCGTTAGAAGGCGGACCTTGGGAGGTACGCTCCCGTTGCCGGTCATACAAATAGTAAACTGTTACTGATACAGCAGCTAATAATACTCTAGTTCCTACTATTATGATTGGACCAGACGTGTACACATGTATCTTATGTTAAAATGCTGTATAAGCGCACATGAATTGTTCACGGCGCTGGAAGAATGCTGTATTACCGGCAACTGTTCTACAATATGTATCTTGCTTTATGGGGTAACAGCCTCTAACACCAAGCTTGTGCCATACCAGAGCCTAACGCATGGCAAGGATGCAAGAGGGGTACAACAAATATACCGTATGAACAATGCTGCCTTTGAGCTGAATGTTAGGCAAGGGAGCAGAGCAGTGAGAGGGAGGGTGTTGGATGGGGGTATCTGCCAACTTGGTGCTCCTCTTTTCTTGCCGCACTTCCTCCCTGCTCTATCCTCCTCTCTTCTCCCCCCCTCCTCTCGTATCTCCTCTTTTCTCCTCACCTCTCTATCCCTCTCCTTCCCCTCAACTCTATTCCTCCCATCTCCTCAGCTCCTCTCTTCCCTACCCTCATCTCCATGCAGAGGATGGAGAGAGACGTTTGTTACTGCAGCAAACTGCAGCAAAAAAGAATGAGAAGACGATGGGCCCATATAGCATTATCTAGGCACAATGTTCGACACAAGCACAGACGTAAAGCTTAAGGAGAGAGCCAACACCCTAACAGTCTTTGGCATTGAATCATATGCCTGGGAAAATGTGGGCGCCATGTCCTCGTTATAAGCTGTCCTGTACGTCTTGACTTGTACAGGAGCAGCTGAATTATCTGCTGCGAAAGAATCAATGGCCAGTGACACGTGGTAATCATCCCCGTCTTGATTGGCCACAAACACCGCCAGCTGGCGCCTGTCGGCAGAGTAAAATGCAGCAACACAATGATGACACCCCTGCGCAGTGGTAACCTGTAACGGCTTGCTCCCCTTTGGCGCCCCCTGCACGAGCTGCTTCATTACAAAATACTTCTTCGAATAGTCCACCGAGAATGGTGGTAGCTCCGCGCTTTTAATCCGAGTCATAGGGATGATAAGGAAGGCCCATGTGCGAGTGTTCCCCACTGCTTGCCAGAAGATCCAAGCGGATGCGCCCATGATGTTCACTGATTGGATGACGGTTCGTGCCATGTGCACGGCAATATCAATGTCCGCTCCCCCCTTCATGAATAGAGGCCCAGCTTCAGTCACCCAAACCTCCTTCTGTAGACTCTTACCCACTTCCCGCATTTGTCCAAACATTTGCTCAACATAAACTCTAGGGCTGTAAATTCCTGTCGAGTTTCCTCTCGGGAATATATACCCATGTACACTGAGGTGCCTCAACGGCTGTAGCGATTGCTGCTTTGCAGCACTCCAGAACCGCTTGTAACGAACCGTGGAGTCTACCAGACTGTCGAATCCAGCTACTCGGGTTACCAGGTTTCGCTTCTTGAGAGCTCGCACAACTAACGGAATCAATTTTTGTAACCCGGGCGCGTCGAAGTTACACCCCTCCTGTATGCCCCCTTGCTCCCACCATCCCTCCAGCGGCTCGTTAGTCGGACTAATCGCCACGAAAGTAACGTTCCACGCATCTCTAAACTTTTGCACTACAGTGGCTAAATAATCCGCGAATGACTCGTAATATCTCGGCCTTATGTTATTGGTGTTTGCGTGACCGCCTGACACATCCCCGCTAATAGTCATCCACCATGGAGGCGAATAAGCCACTGCTTCTACCGAATCAACTCCTCGTGCCAGCGCACCAATCAGCACGCACCGCTGCCGCCAGTCTGCCGCCCAATCGTACGGCCCTGTTGCCTTTGGTTTATACCCCGGCATCGGCCGCGCGTCGAACGGCGGCCCTAAGGACGTCATTTGAGGCGACCGTGCGGGATTGAAGCCCGCGCCGATTAAATGCCTAACCATATTAAGACCGAGGCCGCGCGTCGGGTGAAATAGTAGGTCTAAGAGTGTGTTGAGATCGGCGGCGGGTAACCGACCAATGTAGTTGGCGAACCAGCCTAGCGACGTGCCCCATCCTCGCCAGGTTTGCCCGAGAGGCGTGCTTGTGACCGTTACAACTGCTGGCCCTGTGGTTGGTAGAGGGTGAGAATGGGGGTCGGCTTGTAATGAGAGTTCAAAACACGTGAGACGGCACAAAAGGCTTGAAAGACGCGCCTCGTGATTCGTCTCGGCTGGATCCTACTGAATAGTCACCCTTGCGCACTCCGACTTTCCTCTTACTACTTACCATTCGTGGCCCTTAGCCCTTATGAATCTGAGCAGTAAATGAACCTTTCCAGCTCTCTTTCTACAACACAACCCCACCTACTACTAGTAGGGTTGTGTTTGGGATGTAGTACATCTCTCTACACTCCCCCTTTCGTTCTGCTACAGCCCCTTTCAAACCTGTCACATTCAGTCTCCCCCTTTTACCTGCGACGGCGCACACGCGGTAAATCTCCCCCTCCGGCTTCAATGTGGGCGTCGGGGGACCATCAGACGGGGGAAGAGAGGGCGGCGGAACCTGTGGAATGCGCGGAAGAAAGGAGTTGGGGGGTGGAGACAGGGGTTTGGGAGACGGAGGAGGAGAAGTGGGAGGTTTCGGGGGCGGGGAAGGAAGGGGGGAAGGCGGAGGTTGTGGCGGAGGGCGCGGGGGAGGCGGGGGGAGGGGGAGATGGGGGAGGAGGCGGTGGTTTGGGCGGAGGGCTGGGGGGAGGTCTTGGAGGGGGAGACGGCGGTGGAGGATTCGGGGGCGGAGAAGGAGGCGGAGAAGGCGGAGGGAGCGGAGGAGGCGGGGGGGGGCTGGGAGGGGGAGGGGGCCGGGGAGGTGGAGAAGGAGGACGAGGGGGAGGCGAAAAAGGGGGCGGGGCGGGGCCGGGTCGGCGAACGAAATCAGTGAATCCGGCGGAGAGGGCGACGAGGGACAGCAACAGCATCGCCAGCAAGTGCGCCGATTGGCTGCGGTGCCCGCGCGTCACAAGGCGCTGCGCGCCGCGAGGGCTGACAACAACCGCGCATGGCGCAGGCATCTGCGCGCACGGTGTGACGGACGAGCGGGCGCATGTGACAAGGTGCACCTAGGCGGCCTAAACTTCTATAGCCGCACTCGCCGGATCACGTCAGGAGCTCCGTGGCATTAGCGGTACCCTCCGACAACTCACTATGCGCACTTCTGTTGGTGGCTTCTGAAGCGAAGCGCGGCACTCTACGACAAGGCAACATAGACGCAGACACTGCTAAGTGAACGATGTTTTCTGAGCACGCCTGGTTGCAAAATGGCGGGAAAAGAGCCCTTAGCTATTAGCGCGAGATTAAATCGTTCCTGACTGCCAGATCGAGCTAGGCAGTTGTCCTGAGTGCATTGACGGCGCGAAACTCGTAAGTGCGAAGTGACGGAATTGGAGTAGCAGCAGAATATCGTGCAAAATCTCAGCGGGCCATCCATGTGTGGGGAAGATTCGGTTGCTTGCACTGCATCAGTCGTGGAGGTGGTTGGTATGGGCGCCGATGGTCCAGGTCGGAGGTGACGAAGCAAATGGAGAACACACTAGCTGTCATGCACCTTGTCTGTCTTATTGGGTAATGCCTGGGCAGTCCGCAGCAGCTTTGCTTTTTGAAGCATGACTGGGCGGAGGAGGGGCTATGGATGATGGGGGGCGAAATTCCATCGAGACCAACAGCACATAAACACATGTCGAGTGAGATTCGCCGGATCGCGGATTCGGGATGCTGCGCGATGCGAGAGTGTCGGTTTCCCCAATTGCAGGAAAAAGCAGGGAGGGGATGGACGTGCAAGCGGCACACAGAAGCTCAGCGCCAAATGCGGCGCATATGGAATCCGGAAGTCAGCTGCAGTTCGGCTTTTCCGCGTGTAGCAATGCTTCGAAAATCATTCAAGCCAGTTAATTTGAAAACATACACTTGAACAAACCGTTCGAAGTAAGGTTAGACACATTATCAGCTTTTCATTGTGAAGTTCCCAATCTAGCTATGTTCGATTTCAGAAGAAAATCAATCAGTAAGAAAAAAAACAAATCCTGATGCACAGGAGATCGGAGAGCCATGTTGGTCAAGCATAATACATGTAGAGGGAGTTGGAGGCGGCACAGGCAATGAGGTTGGCCTTGGGATGCCATGCAAGGTGCAACAGCTTTGAGGAGAAGTCATGCTGCATGCCATTGGGGTCCATGGCATCCACAGCTTCTGCCAGAACCACGCGGGAAAAATCATATCTTAAACGGGACCATGGTCGGCCAATTGAAAGGCTTGAGAAGGCAAGGTGAGCAAAAAGAAGGTATGGTGAGAAAGGGGGTGCATGGCATTTGGTGGGTAATGAAGGGAGAGAAGATGGCAGAAGGGCTTGAAAAAGAGACAAGAAGCACGTGTATGATTTGATCAATCCAGAAAGATAATGTGGTGAAGGAGTATATCGTCCTCCACACACCTCTTCTTGCATCCCTCCGGCCGCGTGCCCCTGCCCTGCCTCCTCCCTTGGCTGGTGTCTGCACCATGCGCCTGTTCATAGCATGCCATGCCATGCCATTCCATTCCATGCCATGCCATCCATCCCATGCCATGCCATGGAGTTTCAATTCATCATC